CTTTATGTTTATAAACCTCTTCTCTACTTTTTATAATAGTGGTCTCATACAGGGTTCATCCTTTTGTGATTGACTTATTGCACTCAGCATAAAGTCTTCCACATTCATCCATGTTGTGGGATGTTTCATGAATTCATCATTATTCTTTATCATTATGTAGTATGCCATTGTGTGTATATACCATAGTTTGTGTATCCATTTAATCAGTCATGGACACTTAGGTTGTTTCCATCTTTTTGCTATTGTGAATAATGCTGTAATGAATTGGGTGTACTTATGTCTATTCATGTCACACCTCTTATTTTCCTAGGATATATACCAAGGAGTGGGATTGCTGAATCGTATGGTACTTCTGTATCTAGGTTTTTAAGGAAGTGCCATACTATTTTCCATAGTGGTTGTACCATTTTGCAGTCCCACCAGCAGTGTGTAAGAGTTCCAGTATCTTCCCAGCCTGGCCACCATTTGTTCTGTTTTTTCAATCAGTGTCATTTTTGCCAGGGTAAGATGGTGTCTTATTGTAGTTTTGATCTGCATATCTCTAATGGCTAATAATCACCATCTCTCTAATGCCTAATGATCACGAGCATCTTTTCATGTTTGTTAGCTTCCTGAATGCTGCCTCCTTTTTTTTTTTAATTGTGATTTGGATGAAAGTTTACAGAGCAAATTCACTTCCCATACAGCAGTTCAATTCCAGACCTGACGGGCAGCTAGGGGCCATAGTCTCAGTGGTTCCACCAGGATCTATCAGACCAGCAAACCTGCTTCCCCCCCTTTTTTTTTCCAAATGATTTTGAGTTTTGTTCCACATTGTTCTCCCTCTCTATCCAGGATCTCCTATATAGATCCCCCTCTGAGTGGTTGACAGTGGTAGCCAGGCACCGTCTAGTTCTTCTGGTCTCACAGTTGTATAGACTGCAGATCGCATGGTGTACCAGTCACTTGGACTAAGTGTTTCCATGAATCTTTGGTTTTCTTCTTTCTTCTTTGCTATGGATGAGGAGAGAAACATCATTGCATCTAGATGGTTGCTTGCAAGCTTTTAAGATCCCAGTCACTACTTGCCAAAGTAGGAGGTGGAATAATGTTTTGTGTAGTATGTTATGCCAATTGAGCTTGATGTCCCCTGCGACTATGGTCCCAAGCCCACAGGTTGAACTGCTTGCTCCCTCTGTGCAGCTGGTGAATGCCTTCTTTGGTAAAGTATTTATTCTCCAGGCCTTTCCTCTGAGGTGTCTCTAGGTAGATTTGAACTGGCCACCCTTTTGGTTAATAGCAAGCACATTGACCATTTGCACCACCCAGGGACTCTGAGAGAAGCCACATGTCCTTTATCCAGGGTGCCACAGGTCTTGATGGGCCAGCAGGGTGGAGAATGTTCCCTTCCCAGCACTGAATATTGCATGCAAGGCCCAGGGCCTGCTAAGCTGGGACTCAGTAAGCAGCAAACCCACTGATTCATTCTTTCTTTGCCTGATTTTTTAAAAAAGTAATGGTTTAAAGCAGTGCTTCTCAAAGCATTTGTAATGAAGGACTAGTCTTTAAAAATTTTTAAATTTTCAATCTATCATGGATTGATCATTTTGTAAAAGACAGTAAAATCCTTAGAAAAATGAAATAAAAGACAGAGATATAAGACACAAGCCTCATTTATTTACTATTAAATTTATCAGACATAAAAATATATTTTGTCAAATGGCTATAAAGTTCCTAATTGCCTGCTCTCAATTTTTGTACTTCCCTTAGCACAGTCCACTAACAGATGGTGGAGAAGAATGCATCTGTGCTCACACTTTGAGCAGCATGAGTTTAAAGAGCGTGTGCTTTGGAGTCAGACATGGGTTCAAATCCTGCCTCTGTTCTATACTAGCTGAGTGTCAAGCAACCTGATCTCTCTCAGTCTTAGTTTCCTCATCTGTAAAACAGGGATGAAGACAACTCGTCAAGAAAACTATGAAATAATGCCTGTAAGGACAGTGTATCCCCCAGGTGTGCCTGGCACAGACTAGGGGCTGAGGACTTCATAGTTCATTGTGTTTCTGTTGGGCTCTGTCAAGCAGGCTGCCACGTGATCTGCAGGACATTAGCTGGGTGGATGAAGCCCTGCTCTCAGGAAGCTCTCAGTGTAAGAGGGGAAGTAAGACCTGAACATAAACGGGAAGGGAAAACATGATCTGAAGCATAAGGTGGCTCAAATAAAAGGCTCAGGTACTCAAGGAGGGAGAAATAATCATTTCAGGTGGGAAGGTAACTCTGAGCTGGACCTTAAAGCAAGGAAGAAGTCGTAGGGTGGAAAGAGAGGAGTCAACTTTTGTAGTGGAGCCATCTGTTTAACTCTTCTGCGACCCATGGGACATATGTCACCCACCAAAATTTTCAGCCTCTTGGGTTTCTTGGGAATCTGCCATCCCAGTTGTAGTATGTGCTGCTGCCTGTTGTAGTATGCCCAGTTGTAGTATGTGGTACACCTGTATCACTGTGTGAATCTGGGGAAACAGCCTCACCCCACCAATCCTACAACCAGAGTCCACTCCCAAGTGGACTTTTTTTCCCCCTATAGTTTAGCATGCCTTCCATTATTGAAAACATAGTACCAGCAAAAAATTCAAAGCAGAGACTAATTCAGTCATGAAAGGTTTAAGGCAGGAAATGGGGAAAGCCCTGTTTGGAGGTAATGCTGGGCAAACAATTTGCAGTCAAATCAGAGGATCCCGGGCTGTGAAGGGATTGGATTTTAATAGTTTCAGTGAAAGGGAGCCTGGAAAACTTGGGGAGGAGTAAGCTGTCCAAAGCAGTGAGGTAAAAAACCAGACGATAGAGGGTGTGTATTGGTTGGAGGAGAGACTGGGGGGGCAGGAGACCATTGAGGTGGTCTTGGTGGACAGCTCAAGGGCCACTGGCTACCACTGCTAAGGTTGAGTGGATGGGACAGGATGACTCAGCTATCCATGGGGTTGAACAGCTCAAGATGCTGACATGAGGCAGGAGAGCAAAGCACACCAGAGACAGGCTGGGGCCCCAACCTCGGCCCCTTGGGAGCTTGCTGGCTGGCTGTCATCTCATGTCCCGGCCATCTCAAGGCTCCCTGACAGCAGAAAAATTCATAGCCATTGATTTTGTAATTAACAGTTTATCAATGCCATCGATACAGACTTGCTGATGGATTGCAAAGAAATTAATCTTGCAATGTTATTTTATTTCATTTTTGGTTGAAGGCAGCTGCCAATTTTGGCCTCCTTGGGGAGGGCAGGAAAGGTAAGGGAATGGGGAGAGGGAGCTGGCAGGAGTTGGGAGTTCTGGATGGCCATTTGCAACCCTTCAAGGTCCGTTTGAGTGAGCACTCTGAAAACGGCTGCGAGGGTAGGAACGGAGCCACACTTCATCTCCACCTGGCAAAGAAGGAATCTGTGTGGCCATGACACCAACAGGAAAATGGGGAGGAGACACGGATGTGGGCCCAGTGACACACCAGCTTTTTAAGAGCACTTGCTCCCAGTCTTAGTCCCCCCAATAATTATAGCAAAATTGATTAGGTACGTATTAAGTCCTATGTAATGTTTTATTTTATTCAATCCTCACCACCACCCTTTGAGGCATATGTTCTTTTTTGCTATATTTTACAGAGGAGGAAACAATCTCAGAGAGGTTAAGTAATTTGGCCAAGGTTACACAGCACCTAAGACTCCAGAGTCTTACCTACCCCATGCTATTGCAGTCCTCCCAAGAGAAGGAGGCAGCACTGAAGTGGAGACAAGGAGGGTGGAGGGAGGCCTGTGGCATCAGGAGCTGCCCTGAGCAGTCTGGTATCATTCTAAACCAACCCAGTGTGCAAAGGAATTGCCATAGTCTTTCTAAAGAGTTCAGAAAACTCACTCAGCCTTCCTTGGCACACTGTCCCCCTCATCCCCAGCTTCCAGCTTCCGTTCTCACACGTTCCTGTCCTCACACCTCTGATGAGCACTGGATGATGCAGTTCAGGGTGGTGGCAAGGATTATTGAGGACTCCCAAAGAATGCTTGTCCC